ATTACTCTCTGACTCACCCTAGGCTTTCCAGAAAAATGGCTGTCTTGCATCCACCAATCAGGGCTCTTCTTCACACAGATCCTGTCTAAATGCTCTTGCCTGTGTAGGGAATGTAGTTTCCTCTCCCCACCTACTTCCTTTATCAAGCTCACTCCTACTTCCCTTTTACTTCTCAGCAAAAATAGTTCTTTCTCAATAAACTAAACCCTCAGGATTTACCAGTTAAACATTTTAATAGAATCACATACTTCTAATATATGACTCTTATCACAATTATAACTGTATATTGATTAATATGATGTAATTAATGCCAGCCTCCCTCTGTAGATTTATGTGTCTGTGAAGGCAGACACCTCATGTTTTTAATTTGGTGCAGTTTTTTTCCATTTCCTTCACCATTGTGACTCCAGAGGGTTGGACATATGGTAGGTGCTCAAAAAATATTAGTTATAAATGAATTAACTAGTGAAAAATGTGAGCACTATAAATGATAATATAAACATTTCTTATTCATGAAGTCTTAGTCATTACTACTCTACTGCCCATGAGCTATGTAGGTAGGGAATAATTTGTCTATTTTTGCCACTGTGTGATGTCATAAATGGAAGGAGTGGCTGTCATTTTTAATGTTTGAAAATTACTTTAATTGCATGATCTGAAACTTTAAATCTGGGCAGTTTTGCTCTGCCAACACATCCAATTAGCCAACTCATCCTCCTATAAATGTAAATAAGACATTTGTGATTTTTTTTCCCAGAAAAACTTCAACAGGAAAATATTTTCTCTAGTCCTAAAGGATTTTCTTGAAATGCTGAATATCATTTACCCTTATTTTGTGGGAGAGATGTGAAGAAGGCTTGGAATTAAAAATGAACGTGTCCAGAAAACCAAACTTCTTTCTAGAAATAATTAGAATAATAATGTGTGCATGTAATATATTAATCATAAGAGGAAGAGTATTTTTAAAACTGAAAACATATCTAATGTAGATTAAGAGTTAGATTTTCCTTCATTTTATTCCAAAATATACCATATGCTTTTATTTTTCCATGTTTTTTTTATATCAGTATGCACTTTAAAACCCAAAATTATTACTTCCTGTTTTCTACTTCCAAATATTTACTAAGAAAACAATTGTAATTTTT